GTCTATTTATGCCTCCATGAAGAATTATAGAGTTCCTGGAAAGTACCATTACTCCTCCAGATAAACATATATTAGTATTTCTCCTAGTATCAAAAGGAATAAGTTTATAGGAATCCATTGGAAGAAGTTCAAGTTTATCCAAGACAGTAAATTCAGTAAGTTCCATATTAATAGTTAAATATATTAAAGAAACACAATTTGAATGTGATTGAATAGATCCGGTACTTATTGGCCCAATTCTAGTCAAAATAGCAATTTTGGGTTGTAAACAAAGATTAGAGTTTTCATCCAAAATTTGGCAAGAATCAACAATAGTATCCATATAAATATCTGTTTCAACAAGAATTCCCCAACATACTCCTAAAGAAAGCTCTTTATTAAATTCATTTCTATTCGCTTTCAATCTATATGTAATAAATAATAGATATTTAGGAGAAGTGATCATGAGAACAAGATCATCACAATTAGGTTTGGCTCCTATTAGAATTTGTTCAAGTTTAATATTGTCATCAGCTTCAATAACTCGTGAAAACTTCAAAGATGCGCCTCTTGCAAAGTCTCCTATTTCGATTTGATCTTTACTAACTAGCTCTAACTCTCCATATTGATTTGAGTACCTATAGATCATGATTTCCCAATGAGCAAATAATAGTACTATATAATCAGGCATACCATTATGTCCTTTCAAGGTAGTACAAGCCACAGGAGTTTGCAAAAGTATTGATGATGCGATAAATCTAATCTTTTTATCTTTGTTCACCTCATAAAGCTCTATCCTGTTACTTTTTACAAGAGACAAATTTAATCGAGAATCTTGCTCATCTCTTCTCCCCACAAAGTGGCCAAAGACTGAAAATTCAGGCCTCTCACTGGAACAGTATGTGTCAAATACGGCTGTCATTCTAGACTCCTCCGTTTGTTCAGATGAAGTAAACTCTCATTACTAAACCAATAAAGGTTTATTGTTGTAAGGAGCAGGGCCTTATTAAATTTCTCCCTAACACTCCTACAATAAGGTTTCAAAGTATCCTTATCCGAAGCCTTAGCTTTACTCCCCCTCAATTTGTCCTAAAAAGCTCAAATACTTGTAATCAAGATTCAATTTTAAATATTTATAATTTGTCTAAATTGCTATTTTCTTTTTTTCTTTTATTTTTTTTTCCATCTACATAATTTCATATATTACTTCGATACCTTTAAAGTGGTTGCGCGCCGGCGGGAAACCACACATATAAATACATGATCAAATATTGTAAATAAAAAAAGAAAGAATTTATAGAAACAATTACAGTAGATATGGAGATTTAATTTAGTTAGTTTTGAATAGTTTGGTTCATTTAGTCTAGAATAATTCTTTTATATGTTTTGGAATGACTATGTTATAATCAGATCAGATTGCATGTAAATTAATTCAAATAAATGTTAATGTTATAAGAAGCAGTAAGAATAGTGGTAAATAGATACAAAATATCATTGAATTAAAGCATAAAAATACATAATAAGAGTGTATAAAATATTCAATTTAAGAATCTGTAAGTTTATGTTTCACCTTTATATTGTAAAATAATAATAACTAATGATTGAAAAGAGCATACAAAACAATCATGTTAAAGCTTTTACCTTAGTCTATAATAGTTAATCCTTTCAATAGAAGAATTATTTTTTGTAAAGTTGAATTTGATTTTAATGTCAAGATCTCGGACATTTTTAGTGTTCTTCTTTAAAGCAAATATTCCTGAAATCATATCATTAGTATCGCAAACAAGATCTTCTTCAAAGTAGAATACTGATTGTTTCCAATGAGTATATTTCCCAAAAGGGCTTGTAGTAAAAGTAACAGGTTTATGACCACATCCAAAAATGATATCAAACCATACAATGAAAGCATGAACAAAGTCTTTTCTAGCAGCCTTAAGATAAAAAGGAGATACAAATTCTAAGTCTTCTTTCTTACACTTGTAAAGGTCAATATCAAGAATACAATAAGAGCTTGTATTAACAGCATTCTCTCCAACGGTATCTATTATTGGTTCTTCCATAATACAAGGTTTGACATATTGATAATTAAATCCATAAACATTATTCCAATATCCAAGCTTTTCTTGTTTATATTCAGCATCTTCGATACCTGCAATATACATTTGTGCTCTATCTGGGAAGATTAAACCATCTTCCTTAAGCCATTTATCTCTGCAAAATAATACAGTATCCAACATAGATTCATATAATAGTAAATATCCCATCCATTCGGAAATGATAATATCAACCTTTTCTACAGGAAGAACAGCTTCTTCAGCTTTACTCTGTATAAAGGTAATCTTATCAGATAGATTATTATCCTTAATTATATTTCTGGCAACATGTACAATTTCTGAACATTCTATACCATATACGTGCTTTGCTCCTGCCATTGCAGCAAACATACATAGAATTCCTGTACCACTTCCTACATCCAAGACAATCTTATCTTGGAACAAATGTTTATTAGACATTATGGCCTTCTGGTATGAACCAGTTCTGACTGAATCTTTTAACATTTCTTCATGTATTCCAAAATGAGCATAAGAATTAAAGTAATAATCTGCACTGCTAATATCCTCTTGAACTAATGGATTCCAGGAGTTCTTAAACTCTTTAAGCTCTTCTTCTGTTGGTTTAATCATTATTCAATATAATAAACTCAACCCAATTCCACTATTTTTTTAATTTTTAGTTAAAACTATTTATTCAAATAATTTTAATATTAATACCCTAAATCCTTCCTTTAAAAGAATCTACTTTAACCAAATTAAAGTATTTTTTCTCCACCTAATTTTCTCTGCAAATTTTCCTCTTTTTTCATCACAAAATATTTGACATTATAATGTCTTTAATATGCCCGCCAAAGGTCTGGCGCCGAAACTGGTACCGAATTATTAAGGAAGAAAAGAATAAAGGAAGGTTAATATTTAAAAAAAATTCTTTCTAGGGGGTGGAACAAAAGGAATTAGAATAATAATCAATAATCTAAAAGATCAGAGGAAGGGAATTTATTTACTATTTTTCATCTAGATTTGATTATTATATCAGTAATTCAAGCATTACAATAGTAATATATTTGAATTGCAGCTACTTGGAATTTGTCCCGATACGAAAATTATCACTTTGAATATATATCAAGAAAAGATTTGGAGAGTGAAGTAAGCCTTGATGTCAACTGAAGATTCCGTTATTAACAATAGCAACTCTAGTAGGATAGAAACAGAGGAAAATGGAGAAGTTGCAAATGTAGATGAACTTAAGGAATATTTTAAGAATATTACTTCATCAAATTCTCAATTAGAAGATTCAAAAAAGGTTCAAGAAGAGGAAGAAAGAACATCTAAAGAAGACGATATGGAAAGGAAAGACACTGAAAATGATGATATAGATGATTTTAAGTCTCCAAAAAGCGATAATTCTGCTTTTCAATTTAGAGATGTTCAAAATAACTCATCAATATCAGTTCAAACTGTAGATCCTAAAGCTCAGCTGTATTCTGCGAAAGATTGGTCAGATCTTAATCTTTCACCTGATCTACTTAAAGGTATTTATAATAAAGGTTTTAATCGTCCATCTAAGATTCAAGCTGCAGCATTACCACTCATATTAAATTCACCAATGAATTTAATTGCTCAAGCTCATAATGGAAGTGGTAAAACTGCGACTTTTGCTTTAGCTATGTTGGGGAAAGTTGATACAAGGATTATTCATCCCCAATGTATGTGTTTATGTCCAACTAGAGAGCTTGCACGTCAAAACCAGGATGTTGTAAATGAACTTGGAAAGTTTACAGGAATCACAACATGGCTTGTTGTTGCTCAAGGAGATAAATACGATAAGACTATTGGATCTCAGATAATTATATGTACTCCTGGAAAAATGCAAGACTTTTTAAAGAAAAGATCTTTTCCAACAGAATTTATGAAGTTAATGGTTATTGATGAAGCTGATGAAATGATTGATCATAGAAATATGATGGCTTCTCAAGTTGGACAAATCAGGAAATTCTTTAGACAAAATTTACAAATCCTTTTATTCAGTGCAACTTACCACGAGGAAGTTCGTCTTTTTGCTGAAAAGATTGTACCCAATGCAAATAAAATTAATGTTAAAAAAGAAGAGTTAACATTGAATACTATTCAACAGTTCTATGTAATTTGTAATGATGATGCTGATAAGCTTTCATTTTTATCAGATTTGTATGCTTGTATGTCAATTGGACAGTCTATCATTTTTGTTAATACTAGAAAAACAGCCTTTTCTATAGCTGAAAATATGAGAAGAGATGGACATGCAATTTCTGTTATATGTGGTACCCAAACTAATTCTGGTGAGAAAATGGATCATGAAATTCGTGATCAAGTTATGGATTCATTTAGATCAGGTGAAAGCAAAGTTTTAATTGCTACTGATGTTTTATCAAGAGGTATTGATGTTCCTCAAGTCACTCTTGTGATTAATTTTGATATTCCTGTCAGATTCAGCTCCACAAATTCTATTGATATTGTTAATCAGACATCTTCAGTTCAAGTTGAAAATGAGACATATTTGCATAGAATTGGAAGAACTGGAAGATTTGGATTAAATGGTATATCTATTAACTTTATTCTTCCTCATCAGCTTTCTTTAATTCAACAAATTCAAGATTATTATGATTGTAATATTCAACTAATTGACAAGGATCTCGAACATCTTGAGCAGATCCTTAAGTCTTTAAGATCTTGATAGTAGATAACTTTAATATTCCTATAATATAGGAAAAATAAAAAGAATTTTAATTATCTTTCTTTTTAAATCAACCATAATAGCATATAAAGGATAAAATATACTAAAGTATATTTACGATCATTTGATTCACTTAGTTATACATAATATTTTTTTACTACATTCCTTTTCATTTTCTTCACTCCATTTCCCTCATTTTTTCAATTAATTTGATTCTTCTCCAATTATTACCAATTATATAGGGGGGAAAAAACCGACAAAGGCAGGATTCGAACCTGCGCAGCGAAACGCTATCAGTTTTCGAGACTGACCTCTTAACCACTCGAGCACTTTGCCTAGAATAAGTCACTTCGATAAAAAAGTGATATAATTAAAAAAAACTTAAAAAAAATGTACATAATAATTAATCTGAAATTTATTTATTACGTAATTTTAATGAGTAAATATGAAGGAAGAGAAGGAGAATTAGTAGTATAAATGATAGAAAAGGACTTATACATCTACAAATCTAGATCAAATAAATCTCTAACCAGTTCCAAATTTCATCTCATTTTTATTTGACAAACATTTCTTATCAAGGAATAAAAATTCAAATAGTAATTTTAAGTAGCTACCTCCTTACAGATTTTTTTTTTCTCTCCTTTTATTAAATTAGTAAAATTAATATTTTACTAATAACTATTCAGCTTCTTGATTATTCCTTTCTCTCCTCTCTTAAAGCTGATCCCAACCTCTTTCAAATTCTACCAAAATTAACCTAAATATTCTTAGGCTTATTCCCAACTCATCTTTTCATCCTGCAACTCTCCAAGAAATTCTCTTGCAATATCTTTTTCAATTGAATAAAGCCTTCCAGAAGAATCAAATGTCATATAAACAACTCCTGTGATCTGAGTTACTGCTAATAATTCACCAATATTACCCTCTCTATCTTCAACTCCATAAGATGAACTTCTTAACTCTATTCCTTGTTTAGTCACTACATGTGTTGGGTACTTTGGCCTTAAAATGGACATAGATTCTAATTCATTTGAAATATCAACATCTGTGTTTACTAACATCCTGATTCTCTTATATTTAATTTAACTAATTATTCTGTGCTTGAAAATAGTAAATTAATTAATTTTATTTAGGTATTAATTTTTTTTCCTCTGCAAAAATGCACTAATCACTGTGAGGGTTTTGGCGGGTAATTTTGTTTTTTTTTTTAATTATTACGAGCGATAATATATTAATTGAAAAAAGTAAAAATGGTTAAAGAAATCAAAATCATCATCACCATAAAATATAAGAGTTCTTTAAGTTTAGAAATATGAAATAGTAGTGTAGCTACTGATATATGAATTTTCTTCAAATTTCTAGATATTTTCTGTGTGATAATATTGAATATTACATTATCTTGAGAGTGTATCAAAAGGAAAAAAAATTCATTACTTTTAGTTGCTGAGTATGTATCTATATATAGTAATAATAATAATGTTAAAAAAAGAGTCAAATCTAGTTCAGAGTTTAATTAGAAAGTACTAAGAAATATGAGCTTACCTTTATAGTAGAATTTTTACAAAGTTGTGATCTCTTAAACTCATTAATATACTTAACTTGATCGCTAGAAATATTGTATGTGTTGAATTTCTGAGAATAACTTTCTGATATACAGAAAGAAATATAATAATTGGAAATAATTTTGTTAGATGAATAGATCTCACAATTCTGAAAATAAGACAATAAATTAATTTAACATATTCAGTAGCATTAATTAATATATATATACTTATATTTAACAAAATTGATTTCCTTACCTGTAATTGATTGTCCAGATATATATTACTTTGTTTTAAATAGGGAGAATTCAAATTACATTGATGATTTTCTTTTACTAAACTTGAATCTATTAATAGCCTTCTTGGATCAACATAAAGCCCTAGCCCAATATATTTTACAAATGACTCTTTAATTGTCCAATAATGCATAAATTTTGAGATATCTTTCTGAATATATTCCCACTCAGATGGATGGAAAACATTTTTCATATTATTCAAAAATTTCTCATTTGCTTCCATAATATTATTTGATAACTGAACTCTGGAAGGTGATAACTCGGTTTTCATAATATCAATTCCAACCATATATTTAGACAAAATAATCACCACAACATCTCCATCATGTGAAACATTAAAATGCAGTAATGAATCACTTTCCGAGTCATATTTAAAATACGGCTTCATTCCTTTTTCACGAATTATTTTTACCTGTTTTGGTGAAATATCATAGTAATTCATTAAGGCTAATTTCATTAATAATACACTTAATAAAGATCTTTTTCTATCATCCAGAATTTTATACCTAATTTAAGTAATAAAATAAGTCAATTTAACATTAATCCTTCATAATAATTTTTGATTAAACTATGAATAATTTATAACTAACCTTAAAATTCTTTCAAACTCTTCATCTTCCAATACTTCGAGTCTTAATTTGTTAATCAAATTACTAAAGTCCAAATTATCAAACACATCCAAGGTGCACCATAATATACAAGTATCATTTATTTCCAATCTTTTCTTTAAATCTAATTCTACTTGCATTTCATACTATTAGGTGATATAAACAAATAGAAAAAAAATCAATAACAAACAATTAAATGATCACTTCAAAGACAATACTATTCTTCTTTCTTTTTTTTTTCTCCTTATAAGATCCCATTTACCCCTCTCCGGTCCCAACCGATAGTATATATGCATTTTTGCCCCAATTCCACATTTACGCGCTCAGTTCTCGAAGACTAACAATCAGCTCCCGCCAAAACTGTTAATTAAAGGCGGGAACTCTCACATTTGTAGGCAGGGACTTGGCGGTAAACTGTGAAATGCAATTGATGGGGTAATTTGAAAAAAAAAAAAAAAGGATGAATACTAAATTGAAATATTTAAATTTTCAAAGGCCGGGTTAAAGAAGGTGTAACTAAAAAATATATATATATAATACATCTTGATAATATTTTAAAGGTTTATTATAAGAATAAAAGAGTCCTGGCAAGTTATTTGTTGTATTACACACATTTAGGTCAGAAATTAAGGTATTAGTAAATATTCTTAAATGGTGTGCATGCTAAAGCAATAAACAAATTTAATTAAGTATTAAAAAAAATTAGAATTTCGAGAAAATAAGGTAATCTGACACTATTCCCTTGAGATCTGTGTGATTTGAAAATCTATTTAGTGAAATATTAATCACTTGATATTAATATTCTTGGCTTTTTTTTTAGTGGGGGGAAGTGTGTTAAGGTAAGTAACTAAATAGGCTTATCAAAATATAAGTATAAAATAAAGAATAAAAGTTAAAGTAAAATAAAAAGTAAACTATATTGAAAACAGAAATCTATTTTACTAAGGGAAAAAAAAGAAAAATAATGATATGGTAAGATACAAGGAGAATGACTTATCATCATATACAGATAACCCTCTGGGATTGTTACCATCTCGTTTTATTGTGAATTCAAAGAATAATTGGAATATTACAGGTATATTTGTATGTATACTTAGATTATATGCATATTATCCAGTATGGTTGTTGTTAAATAATACAAGTAATGATTGGTATATAAATAATGCTCCTTTTTTAATAGTTTACTCTTTAATATTTGGTATGTTAAATTATACTTTATATATATTAATATCGTTTGGAGATCCAGGATACCTGAAAAGTTGTCCATCAACAAAATTGAAACCAGTGGACAAAATTAGGGATCCATTAAAACTAAAATTTAATTTGGAATTAAGAAATTTGAAAAGAGGCACTAATGAAAAAAAAATAAGTAATAGTGATATATTTGGATCTTCAGATGAAGAAAGGGATGAAGAATTTGATGAATTTGACCTTGAAGCTGGGTCAATAAATAATTTACAGACTATAAATGAATCAATCAATAACTCTAGTTTTGAGATTTTGGATGATAAATCATTGGCTGATTCTAGATGCGATTCAAATACAAATGATTTAAATTTATCAAACAGTATTTTAAGACTGGGAAGCGGTACCACATCTTTCCCACTTTTAAATACAAGTAATTTGATAAAATCTCCAATAAGAATTGATAAAAGCACAGCTAGTTTAAGTTTAGTAATGGAAAGTGCGCCTGGACAACTTCTAAATTCAATAGGAGTTTCTCAGTTTTCTTTGAATAATAATAGGATCTTGGATAACTTGTTAAGTAATAATAGCTCGGAATGCTGCAAATTATCTATAGATCTTATAGATGGTGATAATAAATCTCCTGAATGTAGCTTTATTGACAGGGGAAACTTAAATGAAGAAGGATCAACTTTTAAATTAAATTTTAATGATATGGATCAAAAAACACCAAAATTGGAACAACTAACTCATCCAGTATCAAATTTGAATAGTAATAGTTTATCATTTCCGCTTTCTCCATGTTCTTCAGACGGCATTGATCTCCTACCAAGAAGAGAAATGAGTGGTAATAGTCTCAAAAATAGCTGTTTTCAAAGTAATGATGGCTACTTTGTCTTTAAAGAGGGGAAAATGTATCAGAATGGAGTTAGGTTAAGATTTTGTGATTATTGCAGAATGTATCAACCTCTTCGTACAAAGCATTGTACTTCTTGTGAAAGATGTATTCGGACCCATGATCACCATTGTCCTTGGCTTGGTGTATGCATTGGTGAATATAATAGATGCAAATTTTGGTGGCTTTCGCTTGTTCAATTTCCCGAGTGTATTTGGATTCTTTATTGTATCTCAATTTGTCTATTCAAAGCAGATCTGAATGGTAGCCGCCTAACAATCTTTGATATTTGCTCAATGATTTTCATTGCTGGGAATGCACTCTTTATTGCTTTTCTCTCTCTATTGCTTGTTATATATCACCTTTTTCTTGCCTATAATAACTTAACTACTTGGGAGAATCTTGCATGGAATAAGATTTCATATCTAAAACCATTTCCAGATACGCAAAACTCTCCATTTTCTAAGGGGCATATATATAATATGGCAATCTTTTGTATTCCCTATTACGTGGACGATCTTATAATAGGAGAAGAGGGAGAAATAATTTGGGAAAGAAAGCCTCCAAGCCGTATTTAGAAATAACTTATTAAATTCTAGTGTTAAAATATAGATTTTCTAAATTTCACAAACTTAATTGTTCATATTTATAATTTTGTGAATATTTCCTATATATATTTAAGTTTGCATGCAATTCTATGTTGGGAAAAGCCCGCCTTCCCACGTATGCTAAAAAAAGACTAATTGGCACAAGTAGCGGTTTCGTTTTTGAATGGAATGAATTCGACGCCATTCATATAAGGCTGTAAGAC